GTGTGTGTGTGTGTGTGTTTGTCCAGAGGATGCCCCTTTCCCAACAGGCACTGCAAGACTTTGTATTCAAATTCTAAATAATAGATTAAGTAAACAATAGAACAACACCTATATATTATAAGAATACATTTTGTGATTCAGTGTTTTTAGTTTGTTGGTGAAATTCCGAGATGAAACTGAAAAAGGTTGAATAAAATGAAGCTATACCTTCCTACTAACTAGCCTACATGTGCACCATTAACCAATCCTATCTATCCATCTATCCTCTCTTTGAATGCAGCCTCATCCATTATTAATTCTTTGTTCCTCTGGCTCCTGTTAAGAGGCCTGTTCTACAAACGCTGCTCTTCTGACATCCGATCTCCCTGTCCGTGTGTGTGGGTGTGTTCTGCATGTACAGCACATGTGCCTGAGATCTATACGTGTTTAGTCTTGTCTCCTCTGCCTCTCATCTGAATACTTGCTCGGTCATTAGATACTAAGTGCGTGGTGGTGCTCATCATAAACATACTGTGAGTACAGCAGAAAGCAGGATTTATAATGTTGTAACGAATCATGCTCAGTTCATGATTCATGTCTGAGGAGCACACAGCTTCCACTGACAGTATTTTCACATTTTCATTTTTAAAGCATAAAACACTGCTGCTTGTTGGACGAATATGTAAGGAATGATTATGATGATCTATATAAATATCAGTGGGGGATTTAAAATGAATAGCTTGTGAACTGTTAAAAGCACATAAATATCATTTGACAAAACGTCTTTCAGTCCCCAGTGGACTTATCTCCAAGGTCAAGTATAAACTTTATAAAAATGTTTAATAAAAAAAGTGGAATATCAATTACATTTTTCTACATCATGCCAAATTAAAGCATATTTTGTTTTCAATTAAATGTCTCGCCCTTACTACAAGCACACAGAAAGTACTGTAGTAGTGTCTGTCCCCTCAGTTTTTCCCAAATGCATCAAGGTTGATATGTGCATTTTTAAGTTAAGTTGGATGAGGTGAAACACGCGCACACATACGCACGCAAACGTATGTACATACGTCATTATGAGAGGGAGCAAGAGAGGAAAGAAAGCCAGAAAAGGTGCTGCATGTGTGAATAATGAAAAAGAGGTCAGTGCCTGAAGGGGTGGAGCGATGTGAACACCGCTCAAAGTAAAGGCACTGAGAATACACACACACACACACACACACACACACACACACACACACACACTTGAAGTTGCTAGGCCTGGCAGTTAAAGCCACTGAATATTATTCAATTACGGATTACTCACAGGTGATCGTACCTGCTCACTGAACTTGCACAGTGCGAGAACAGGCCTTTGGGGGAATTGAAGAGGCACCATTCTCCCTACGACATCCATTGTGGCTCACTACCACGCCATCAGAGCTCAAGCTAACGTTAGTGGCTCTGTCTTACTCTTTACTGAATTTGGGGAAGTTTGCATTCCAACAGCCTCAGCCCCGTTACCCAGGATATAGCTTCACATGTGCTGAACATGATTAGTTCTCATTTTCTCAACATTTAAAGTGAAAATATGAACAACTAGGCTTAACAACCAAACAGGATTATGCTAAAAATAATTATCTGAAATCATTTCGGTTTGCACTGCTGGCCCTGCAATGGACTATCGACCTGTCAGTGGTAGACAATGAATGGTTGGATGGATGGATGGATGTCAATGCAATGCTAAGGCAAAGTTTATAGGAACTCCCTCTATCACCTGCTTGTGAGTGCTCTGCGAAGGGGACAACGTTGAGTCAGTAATTCTTCAATAAAACTGAAACAGGCTTTTTGTATACTTCTTAATTAAATCACAATGTAGTAAGAAAAAAAAGGCTCAACAAAGTTTTTTCAGATTAAGAGAAATATTAAGATGATGATAGCTGATATTTGATTGGTGAATGATGGCCAATGGGAGCCACAGTGAGCGTCCAACGTGACATTCAACAAAGCAGTCCGACTCACCCGTTAGCCCCTGAACGTGACAAAATTAAAAGGATTATTCTGGACTTAGACGGGCTGGGCCACAGTGAAACATGCCCCTATACCCACAGGTCCATATTAACAAGCTTAATACAGCATCCCCACACGGAGACACAGGGTCAGAGGCTCAGGTTCACCAGATAACCCTGCTTACAGGGGAAATTAGAGGGGATACCTGTTCACTGATAGGGCTGGTGTAGTGCAGCAGAGTAATGCTGGTCCTGCTGAAGGATTATTGTGTGGTGATGCTATCATCACAACCACTCTCCCACTGTCTATTTATAGTTCACAGAGCTCTCCCTCCCTCTCCCTCCCCCCCATCTCTCTCTGTCTCTTTCAGTCTCTCTGTCACATTCTCCATACTGAATGCCAAATGTATTCAAAGGAGACGTTCAGAAAAAAAACAGACCCTCCAACTACTAGTTAGTGGTTTGAAACTCACAGAGAAATACAGCACCTGTCCACAGAGACAAACACAGTAGCTATGTAACTTAAAATGAGGAAATAAGAATAGGGGGAATGTCCTCTTCCAGGGGAATTTGAGCCTGAAATGTTGGGGAATAAGTCTCTTCATCGCAGCACACAGCCACAGGTACACACCTTCATGCTCAGAGATGTTGAGACAATCCAACGCTTGTTAAAGTGTTCGGTTCAGATTTTGCAGTCGTACCTCGTTTGTGGAGCAGTTCATTTGAGAGCTGGAGTATTTCATTTATTTAATTTGGTCATGACATACAGTATGTCCTTCACTTGCACTTGGAGATCCCCCTGTTCTATGTTGTGGATGTTATGAACAAACTTTGCATAGGTGAAGTGTGGCTATGCAACAGTTTACCAGCTGTATGCCAAAGTGAGTCCAGATCATCTCTGAGAGCAAAAGCCAACCACGCGTTTCTCTCTATAAATCACACAGAACAAATCACTGTTCACAGTATGGGTTTAGAAACACGACGATAGCAGACAAGATTTCAGTTGTACTGGAGGGACCTAACTTTACTTGAGGGTGTGAATGTTTCGTCCCAGTGTTCAGACAGAGAACGATGGATGCATGGCTGCTGATTTCGTCTGCCAGACGGACCGCAACGTCTGAGCCCCAGGCTAGGAACTCAGACCAACCCAAGGCACCTTAATCTGGATTAGCTGCTAAATTAGAGGCCTGATTGCTTGGGTAATCCCGTTGACAAATTTCCGGCAGCCCCCATGGCCATTTGACAGTGGCCAATTAATTTTGGTCAGGCCGAGCCAGGCCAGCACAGGCCAGGCGTGCTGACTAGGCTGGTTAAACAGCCATAGAGAAGATTTTACATGTGAAACTGTACATACACATATACGTACATGTACATATAACCATCATTAGTACAATGGTGGAGTGAAATTTAAAGTAAGGACATTTAGGCTAAGTTAAATTTAAGACTTTTCGGTCTATTATTACCACATGTGTTT